TTCATATAACCTATACTGTTAAAGTCCCATAGCGTCGAAATAGTCTGCCGCCCTCTCTGTTCTATTTTTACATCTTTTAAGAATGAGAGATAAGAATGCTCTAAAAATTCATTCTTTTTGACCATGCTAACGTGATCAAAATGAAAAATAAAGGGACACGTCTGAAAGAGAATTGATTTAGCTATAACATACTCACAGGTGGGAGACAATCAATCAAGAATAAGCGAGATACGTTCAAACGAGTATAAACATAATGGCATCATAAATAAAAATTCAGTTTTTTAATTCAAATGGCAATATGATGACGTCACAATGTTCGATCAGCCATTATGAAGTAAAAAATCGTATCTACAACTCATGTGCTTTCAGATTATGTAATAAAAATTGGGGGTCACCTTTCATCCAAGGAGCTATAACTGATTAAAAATATTCATGGTTTTATGCATATATAAATGTTGACGCACGCGTATGTGCATGCTAAAAAGCGTGAACGGAAAATTAAGGTGCATAACATTCAACCTTGACCTGAAGCTTATGCTCACCTAATATGATTCAGAAATGACGAATGGTTATGATTATATGGGCTCATCAACGTTTTGAGGAAAGAAAGAGGTGGGGGGGTCAGAAAAAACAATTTTTTTGACCATGATGACATCATCAAAATGTAAAAAGAAGTCAATTATATGAAAGAGAATTGTCTCAGCTATAACATACTCAAAGTTAGAAGATGATTGATCAAGGATAAGCGAGATACGCTCAAATTCGTATTTTCAAAAATGATGTCATAGCTATAATTCACTTTCTTTGAATTCAGATGCCAATATGATGACGTCACAATGTCCGATCAGCCATTATGATCTATAAAATCATATTTACAACTTATGTGCTTTCAGAATATGTAATGAAAATGGGGGGTCACCTTTCAACCTAAGGAGCTATAACTTATTAAAAATAGGTCTGATTTTAGCATAATTTCACTGTATAGCGGCACAAATACGCGCAAAGATACCTATGTTTGATGCGCACGTACGGTATTGCTATTGGCCAAAAGATGACTGAAAAGAATGAAAATTTGTGAAAACAATGTCAGGAACCCAAAATATGTAAAAAAAAAAACCTAATTTGTAGCTTTCTTACGTACTGCGCAATTAAAAGTGCGCGTGCGTAGTGGAAAATTATGAAAAATTTTCAAATGCTCAAAATGGCTTGAAACATGCTCTAATTTAGTTAAAAAGTGATTTCGAGTATTTTGAAATTTTGACGCACCCGTGCGCGTGCATTATGAAGCGCACATGTAAAATTAGGGTACAGTACATTCAACATTAACCCGAAGTTAATGCTCACTTAATACGATTTCGAAATGGCAATTGGTTAGGCTGATATGATCGATAATGTAAAAACGCAAAATTCCACGTAGATGACGTCACGCATGACTGATCGCGTTGAAAAGCTTAGCATGACTATTCCAGACCAAGCCAAATGTTCGTTGACAGCGATTGTGCGTAACTCGTGGCATTTTTTGAGATCGTGCGAACAGAAAAGGGGAGAAAGAAAGAAGAATAAGAAAAAAAAGAAGATGATGATGATGATCCTGACAATAACAAGAGGTGATCCGCTAGTGTAGCGGATCACCAGTGACAGAATTACACAAACTAAAGGGGGTGGGGTTCGTTTATATATTCGTAATGATATCTCTTACAATGTAAGGCAGGATCTTTACAATGACTAGAAACTCTCTGGATAGATATTCTTCTACCTAAAACTAATACCTAACTACCTAATCAACAGCGTCTTTTTTTCTAAATTAGAAGACGATTTTAATATCTCTAAAAGCTTACAAGATCAGGAAATTATCTTTATGGGCGATTTCATTGTTGATGTGGCAAGTACATCATCCAATAATAACTGGGTTAAACAATTTGCGATATTTTAAATCTCACCCAACTTATTAATGATTATACTAGGGTCACAACAGTCATTGATCTTATATTTGCATCAGATCCAGGTAAAATATCTCTATTCGGTGTCTTGTCCTTGGGAGTGAGTGATCACTTCTTGACCCAATGTAGTAGAAATTAGTTAAAAGTCAAATTGAAAAACAAGAAATTACGATTAGATCTATCTATCTATAAAGGGATATTCAGCTGAAAAACTTAATTCTAAACTTATTGAAATCAATTGGACCGATGTACTAAATGCTACTGATTTTAATATTGCCTGGTGCAAATTTAAGACGAAATTTTTAACACTAATTAATCTAAAAAGTGTAAGGACTAAGCCATGATCTGAGCCATGGTTGACTACTGAAATTAGAGATCTTATAATTCAAAGAGATAAACAGTTTTCTTACACAATTTAAAAAACTTAGAAACACTGTACGTTACAAAATTAAAAAAGCAAAATCGGACTATTTTTCTGACCAACTTAGTGAAAATAAAAACAACCCCAAAAAACCTTTAAAACTTTACAAATTCTTGGTGCTGGTAATTAGTAACTTTTTTTTTTAATGTAATCCCTCAATTTTATATAACAAAGAATCCGTGGCTGATTATTTAAATTCTTTTTTTGTTAATACTGCAAATAAATTACAAAATACGTTGCCAAACCAACCTGGAAATTTTAATGAAAGTCATGGAAAAGAATTCTACAAAAAAAAAAAAAAAAGATGTAAAACCTGGTGATCTTGTATTAAGGGAAGCTGATGAAGATCAAGTTCTTGATGTCATTAACAAACTTAATGTTAACAAAGGAGATGGATTAGATTCCTTACCTGCTAGGTTTGTTAAACATTGTGCTAAGAGTATTATTCAGCCACTCACATCCATTATTAATTTATCTATTAGAACTGGATGTATTCCTAAAGACTGGAAATGTGCCCGGGTTATACCCATCTATAAGAAAAATGATAAGTTAGATGCTGGGAATTATCGGCCTATATCTATACTATCTGGAATTTCTAAAATTGTTGAACGAATTATATATGATCAATTAACTGATAAAAATCTCCTTTACGATTTCCAGTCGGGCTTTAGGCCATCGTTCTCTACTGACACTCGCTTGATTCATCTGTCTGATGAATATACGGTGAATATACTGGTATGTTAGTCTTGGATTTTAAAAAGCGTTTGATATTCTTTTGCATAAATTAAGAGCTATAGGGTTATCTGATATCTTTATTGTATGGATGCAATCATATCTGGGAAAGATGTCAAGTCGTTGACATAACAGTACTACATCTCCTATGCTAGAAACGAAGTGTGGTGTGCCACAGGGCTCAATACTTGGGCCTCTTCTATTTCTAGTTTATGTCAATGACATGCCATCCTCCGTAGAATGCAAATTATTATTGTATGATGATGCAGCGTTAATGGTATCAAGTAATGTAAAACATATTGAGACTCAATTAAATGAAGAACTAAAATAAATAAAATAAATAAATGGCTTATTGATAATAAACTAACGCTACATTTAGACTAAACTGAATGCATATTATATGGAACACAGAAATATGTGAAATATAAAGACAATCAAAACTGGACATTACCTTTAATAATTGCAAGATAAATGCCAGAACTTGTATTAAGTACCTGGGTCTTGATCTTGATCAGCACCTTAGTGGTAAATCCACTGGTACGAAAGTTTTAGGTAAGGTACACGGTAGACTTAAATTTCTTTTCAGAAATAGAAAAAAACTAACATATAAATCACTCAAATTGCTTGGGTCTTCACTTATACAATGGTACTATGACTATGGGTGCTGTACGTGGTTCTCTTCGCTTACTCAAAAACTAAAAACTCCAAACATCCCAAAATACGGATATAGTGATGTGTTTTGGGACTCATGTTGGTTATAATAAATATGTAAAATTAAATTGGCTACCTGTTTTATCTAGAGTTGCTGAACGTAAATTTTTTAAATTATAAATGGCATATCACCTGTATATTTAAATATTGGTATTGAGTTTACAAACCTATTTCATAATAATAATAATAGATTTTCTACTTCTAGAATGTCAATTTATCAACAAAAATCTGGTACACATAGTAGATTCTCATTCATCGATACCACTATTGATGAATGTAATAAATAATACATAATACATTTAAAAAACTCATTAATTACCACTATTTATCTGAACTTCATAGTATATAGTTTAATTTTTATGATGTCAATTTTGAATCTGACCTGATGTTTTGGAAATGTATATTTATTTTATTGTTTCCTTTTTGTTCTATTATTATTCTGTAATTTTAGTATTTTCTCATTTAGAGACCACAGTGAAAATAAGTTGCTCTTTGTACTTTTCTGTGTTTTTATCCTTGAATGTTTTTACTTCTTTTTACTTCAGAATGAATAAATAAATAAAAAATGAAAGGGCTAATATAAGGGGAAATTTTTACTTACATTTCCAAAAGTGAGTTAGATTACCATCCTAAAATATGTTATTTTGGGTTTAAAAAGAGCAGATATTACATTCATGTTTTGTAAATTAAACAAATTTATTTAGGGTATTGAAGCTGATGTTAAGTTGTTCTTTAACCTTCACATTAATAACTTTAGCTAGTTATACTTTACTCTTACAATTACAAATTCAAAAGTTGGTCAAACCTACCTCTTCTGTGCTTATTTTACCCATATATATGTAGTTTATTAGATTTTGGCGACCATTTTGAAAAAAGCGCCCTCACGCGAAAGTTTTCAGGATACACCCCTTTTACCTCACATATTCTGATTCCCCATAAAAAACTGGTCTAGAAAATGTATATGAGAATTTCTACCTCTCCAGGTCGCACCTATCTCAATTATAACCTGGTCTAAAACTCGTTTATACAAGGCCCTACTCACTTTGCCGTGCTAATAAGGTGTGTAATGGCATGTTGTATAAACGAGCTCTAAGTGTTTGACTATTTAAGTGATGCAAAAGTACTTTATAACAAAATATGTTATAAATATTTTAAAACTTTTTTATATCAATATATATATATATGCTCTTTTGTAGGCTGGACAGGTGGAGGTGGTCAAAACTGGGATAGTAAGTGGAGTCAAGGAGGGGGTGGATACCAAGGGAAAGTAAGTAGAGATGGAGGTGGTTACCAGGAATTTGGAGGTGGTTATCAAAGAGGCAATGAGGCTGGTTACCAGAGTGGCAGCAGGGATAGTTGCCAAAGAAGCAGCGGGGGAGGGCAACATAGAGGACAGAGCCAGAGAGGAGGGAAAGGCTACCAGGGCGGCAAGGGTGGTGGTAAAAGAGGAGGGTATTGAGGACACAATGAACAATACAGAGTAATTAGAAAGGGTAGCGTATCTGAGCGAGTGTGCCAAAAGATAACACCAAACCTAAGACCCCATAGAAACTCAGACCTTACAAAATTAGTTCTGGTGAGACTGCTCTATAATATCTTCATTCAAAAGCCAACTTTCCCTGTTATGGATTTTCATAAAACACCTTTTCAATTGAACATTTAGAAAGCAAGCAGATAAACAAATGCAATGTTATATGCACATATAGTATTGTGAAAATAACGGTACTTTTGTAAAATACTGAATCCAAATAATAGAGATGTCAGTATACTAAAACTAAATGCCTTTATTTGTTCATCTTTGTTTAATTTACAAACATACTTTTGTTAAATACTGAATTCAAATAATAGAGATGTCAGTATACTAAAACTAAATGCCTTTATTTGTTCATCTTTGTTTAGTTTGCACAGAGATCAAAAGTAAATTGAAATTGTGCTAATGCATAAGGTATTTACTATCAGAATCAGTTATGATGTGTAATATTTCCTCTCATGCCTTAAACAATACAACTATTGTGAAATGGTTTGTTCCATTGTGGTGGGGTTTATTACTACTGGCAGTTTTTTCCCCTATACCCACATTTAATCTTTGGATGCCCAGAACACTTGAACAATCTTAGGCTAAACAAGTAAATGTCATTGACCTTTGAGACTTGGTTGAATTTAAAAAATAAGAAGCAATATA